GAGTTTGAGACTGCTGCTGTAGGGATGTCTGAGTCGACCACGGGGGGCGGCAAACGACAACGCTTGCAAGCTTTGGCTACAAACCCTGGAGGTGGGCAACCCCCTTCAAAAGCCAATCCTCCCAATCCGAAGGCGCCCGATGGAGGTGCGAAAGGTGAGGGAAAGGGTGCCGCGCCCACCGCGCCTGCAGTGGGGGGGGGATCGCAACAGGGTTCATCGCAACAGAGTTTTTCGCCTTCGCAGCCTCCGTCAAAAAAGAAGTGTTCGTTCTTCTTGAAGGAAAACGGGTGTAGACTTGGAAGCACGTGCACGTTTGAGCATGATAGGAGTCAGATTACGCCACAGAATCCTAGATGCTTTAATTGCGGAGCTGTTAAGCACAAGAAACCAGAGTGTGAGTTTCCGGGGGGTGGAAAGTTTGTTTCAAAGGGAAATGGGGAGACACCACAACCATCCGCAAAGGCTTCTGGCCAGGGGGGCCAAACCTCAGGCAACGAGAGCACAAGCAGTCCGAACCATCCTTCGAAAACGCTTAATCCGACTCCGAAGGCGAAGGCGGCCATGTTGAAACCTGAGGACATCCTTGCAAACGCTCAGGCTATGTTGCAAGGCCTACAGCTCTCAGGCGTCAGTGGTCCGAAAGTCGCAGCTCTTCGAGCCTACAGTGCATCATCCACAGATCCATATGATGACCCTACACCTCATACTCCCGCGGTGGTACAATATGGTCTTCTCGATGGAGGAGCCACCAATCCTCTCAGGATGGGCGAACAGTTTGAGCTGGACGATGCTCAGATGGTAGATGTGTCACTTGCAACGGGAGAGGATGCAAGGTTGTGGATGAATCGTACAGGTACCTTGATGTCAAACGCAGAAGTGATTCCCATAGTTCCTATGGGATGCTTGGCGAGTGAACTGGGATGCACTGTTGCGTGGGAGGGTTCGCTATGCCGGGTATGGCACCCAGAGAAGGGATGGTTGGGGATCACCATGATAGACCAGTGTCCTCACGTGGAGAAACCGGTTGCATTAGCCTTGATTAGAGAACTGGAGCTGTTGCGAGCGACAAGACTGGTTCAGGCAGCGCGGCTTAGACTTTTGGGTGACCGTCAGCAGATGGGCTTTACGGAAGCCTGGAATAAGCTGAAAGGGATTGCTCGAGGTGGGGTCATCATTGGTCACGAAGAAGACTGGATGCGAGGTCTCGATTCTGCATTCTTCAGTGTTATGGCTTCGTTGTTTTCGGCTGCCCCCGAAGAGAAGGTTCTTGAGGCGATTGGGACTCCTTCTTTCGAGGTGGCGGGTTATGAGGCGCCGTGGAATCGGAGATTGAGGAGATCAATGGAGAGGTCCAAGGGCGTCCTGGTTCATGTGTGCTCGGGTCTACAAGATTGGGTGCCCCGCCCAAGGAGTGACTACAGGGTGCTGTCTGTTGACTTTGAAAGTGGCCACGATCTCTTGAACCATGGAGTCTGGAGCTATTTGACCAGGCTTGCGAAGTTGGGTTTGGTTCGGGGAGTTGTCGGTGACTTGCCGCGCCCTTGCGATAGCAAGGGTTGCTATGCGGTACTGGCGATGAGGGCCCTTGGACTCTTTGCTTTAGCACAGGCTGTTCATGGTGACACATTCATTGCTTTCACGGCACCTGACAATCCTGCACCGTCGGGGGAGGACATAGCTAGAGACCGCGACAGACAGCAAACCTCAGAGAATCTTGGTTTTGACCGTACCAGTATGCGAGAGTGGCCCATCATGGCGAAGTTGCGTGAGATTGCTACTTTAAGGACGGCGCAGTGTGACCAAGGGGTTTTGGGGGTGAGAGGCACAGTGTCTACAAACGTGGAGGTTTTGACAACATCGTGGGACTTGTATGTCTTATTGCATCGTCGCGCGTTGTTGAACCGGTACGCGGACCGTTGGGCCCCTGGGCTTGTGTTAGCAGTGCTCAAAACATGGGATCTTTGGCTGTCCGATACAATCGTTGAAAGACGCAAGCGTGCACATGAACAGAGCGTTTATCTGGCCGAAGCTTCGGGTGGTGGGCATGATTCACTGCCTGAGGTGCGACAGGGGTTGGTAGATGATAAAGGGGAGTGGCCGACAGAGGTCATTCCACGGATTCGCCCACTCCGACGGCTAGGACAGTTTAGACCTCCTGCTACTTTGTTACGGGTGCCTAGGCTTGCGAGAGTTCGCTTGAGCGAGGCCGAGAGAGAGTACCAGAAACATGTGGAGAGGGGGCACTTTCCTTTTCGATCAGACTGCCGTGAGTGCTTGCGGGGGGCTGGGAAGAGAAGGCCTCATCGACGTAGGGGACCTACCACAGACTCTTACTGCGTAGCTGCTGACTTGGGAGGGCCGTATGTTCCTGCTTTGTCTGAGCTTTCACCCTTAAAAAGCATGCCAAAACCGCGGTATCTTTTTGTTGCCTGCTACACGTTTCCAGTAGACGCGCGCACGCAAAGGTTCATCTGGAATGAGGATAAGGAAACAGAGGATACAGGAGATGGTCATGTTGAGAGTGAGGCACATGTCGAATATGCAGTACAGTCTGATGGCGCGATGCAGTTGGGCAGTGATGATGCTCAGGATGCTGGTGTAGGTATGATTCCGTTTGGTGATGTTTCTCCGGACATAGAGTATGAGCCTTCAGAGGCAGACCTGGATCCGGAAGCAGGGAGGCCAGGGAGAGAGCCGTTGGAGGTATCAGATGAAGAGCAGTTGGATCATGATGACGATGATGCGGCTTTCCGAAGTGAAGATGCTGGAGATGCTGTTCCAGGGGTTTGCACGTCGTATTTGCGAGATGTAGATGAGGCGACAAAACTTTGGAAGGAAAAGTATGCAGACAGGGCATCCGGGATTGGAATGAGGCGCCTTATCTTTGTTGAAACACTGTCGAGGCGCACGAAGGAACAGGTGTCGGCTGCTCTGGCCAGGACGCTATCTAAATTGCAACGTTGGCATTTTCCGATGTTACGATTGCACACAGATAGGGGAGGTGAGTGGATCAACCAGTCGGTGCGAAAGGTAGCCGATGATTTCAGGGTTAACCATACCTGTACGGAGGCACATGATCCTTCAAGCAACGGTAGAGCAGAGTCGTCCGTTGGTGTCATTAAGGCTGCTATTCGCTCACGTCTTGAAACGGCTCCAGGTTTCGGTTCACAGTATTGGTCGTTGGCGGCCTTGGATGCTGGGGAATCCCTATTACGCTCCGAGATGGCACGCTTTGATTCCAGCATTCGGCCATTGATTCCGTGGGCTACCAAGGTTTGCGTGCGCGAAAAGAAGGTTACTGAAAGTCATTGGACTACCCGCTTCATTGACGGCTTCATTGTTGGTCCTTCTAGCTATACCCCCAAAGGCTACACCATAGCGATACAGCCTCTTGATGATCCGAAGCTGTTGGTGTCGACGACTATCCGACTGCAAAGACCGTGGCAAGCCCTGCCTACGGCCCTTCCAGGCGAAATATGGCAGGTTGATCCTACGCGTCGCGTACGTCGTAAGTCTTCGCTGCTTGAGCCTGACTTGAAAGATGCTGCTTTGGATGATCTAGCAGTGGTTGGAGGGGAAGTAGTCCGGGTCTCGGCAGAGGCCCCAGAACCTGTTCACGAAGTTGGTGGGTCTCTGGCTGCAGCTCCAGCGGAGTCTGTTCAAGATGATGCCTCAGATTTGGATTTGTTTCCTCCTAGTCCTGGTTCTGTTGCACCACTCGCGACGCGCCGAGTTTGTCGAAGCACGCAGCGTTTGACATTGGAGCAATCAGAAGAGGCCTCTAGGGCGTTGTTGGCTGACAGTGCATTGGACAGGAGTGCAGTGGCAGGGGTAGTGTATGCATCGTTGAATCGTTCCGCATCAAACTACAACCGTCAAGTTGACAAGGATATGTTTCCACAGGCTGATTCATGGGCGGTCTCATTGGGGGCATTTTGTCAAGGATCATTGGTCGGGGTGATCTCGGAGTCTCGGATGCGTCCGATGTTGGTTCGGCTAGTGAATCGGTTGATCGCCACAGTTGATGGAGCTCATGAGTATACCGCTTTCCGAGTTGCATTTAACACCGCGTCTGTTCTTCATCGCGACGTTCATAACGAACGCGGCTTCATGAACATGATTCTTCGCCTCTCTGAGTTTGGGGGTGGCAGGGTGTTTACAAAAGGCGGACCGGTGGATTTCGATGCATGTGGAAGGGTGTATTTGGATCCGAGTCTGCCTCATGGTGTGGAGCAATCGACAGGGCCCAGATTGGTGGTCATTGCATATACACCGGCGTTTATGACTAGACTTCCGCTTTTAGATGTTCATACTTTGTTGTCTTTGGGATTTAATCTCCCGATGTCTTTGCGCCTTCTACCTGCTCCCATGAAACTGCAACCCAAGATTGCTGTCCTGCAAGTGCAAGGTGATGTGGGTTCTAGTCCTGCAAAACCGTCCGGGTTGCTCCAACTCCAGTTTCCAGTTGCCTTGGCTCGGGGAGGTGAGGAGTGTGTGGCAGATGGTGAGCGTTACATGTTGCACTCCATAGTTTTGCATGCTGGCCTTAAACCCGATGACACATCGGGGGGGAGTCTTGCGAAGCTTGCTGATGCTCTCGTGCTTTCGCATTCCGGAAATCCATCTCTTCAAGTTGGCATGAGTTCTCCTGGGGTGTTTGCACAGGATGCTTCAGGGGGTAGTTGGTTCGCTCCTGACAGCGACGGTTCTGAGTATTTTTCTTACGGTGAGGGCTGTGCCATTCCGATGAACTACAGAGGCGAACCCGAGGCTCAGAACTTTGGAGACCTGATGGGTCTTATGGCATGTTTGGAGGACATCACGCGCGGGATCCAGTTTCCCGTGGTACGGGTCTTGAAACTCAGACAGTTGGCTTTGGATGCGGAAGCACTCCTGGAGGGCACATCGTTGAGTCTAATGAGGGCTCAGGTGGAGTCAGCTTTGCAGGATATGGGAGCAGGCGGAGTTCCGTTGATCGGGGAGCCAGATCCTGATGTTCTCCTACAAACCCGCCAAGTTCCACTGGCGGAGGCTCGCCAGCATTTGGACGAATGGAAGGCGGCCATCAGTGATGAACTTAGCGCACTTATCTACACACACCAGGCTGTAAAAGTCGTAACGAAGCAGGACATTGAAGCTTTAGAGGCTGCTGGAGTGGTGATACAGATGATCCCGGGCAAACTTGTCTTGACTGAGAAACCGCCTGACCGACGGAAGAGGTCACGACTGGTAGCCTGTGGAAACCATTTACCGGATACACAACCCCCAGCAGCAGGTCTTATCAATCCTTTGGCACCTGCGGATGCTTCTTCGTCGACCTCGCATGCAGTTTCTAAGGCAGTGGAGCGTAAGGAATTGTACGCAGCGGGTTTAGAATCGGAGGCATTACGCATCCAGCTGCGATGGGCAGCAGGTCACCGATGGGATTCACGAGCGGTTGACGTCAAAACGGCGTTTCTGCTAGCACCTGCTCGCCGAAAGAACGGGTCACGAGTAGTGGTGCTTGTCCCGAAGCTTGTCTTCGAGGCAGGGCTGTTGGAGCCTGGGAGCATGTTGCTGGTAGACCGTGCGTTGTATGGGCTCGCAGAGAGTCCATCTGATTGGAGTTGTTTTCGGGATGGAACATTCCGAGAGTGGCATTGGCATGGTCCGAATGGGGATTTGCGGAAGATGAAGCAGATGGAGTCCGATTCCTCACTTTGGCTTGTTTTGGCTGCTGTCCTCAGTGCCGATGGCGTAGTGGAGATTGTCGATGTGGAGGGCGAGATTTTGGCGATCATAGGAGTATACGTAGACGATCTGCTCCTGAGCGGACCATCCACGGAGTTGGATGCCATCGCCTGCGCCCTGGAAGGTTTGTGGAAAGTGAGCTCTCCAACTACGGTCTCCGATGGCTTGAGGTTTTGTGGCCTGGAGGTCAACCTGGGGAGCGATGGAGCCTACCTCTTACATCAGACTTCTTACCTGAAGGACTTGGTCAGCCGCTACACTCTTCCAGCTAACTCCACGCTTCCAGATTTCCGTCAAGGTTATGAAGAAGAGGAGGAGATAAGTATCCCTGCGCTGCGACGTTCCCAAAAGCTGGTTGGTGAGTTGCTGTGGCTTTGCGGGAAAACAAGATTGGACGTGTCCTTTACCATAAACAGGTTGGGGCAATTGGTGTCCAGATTTCCGCGTATGGTGTACGAAGATGGGCTGCGAACATTGGCATACTTAGCCAGGACATCGACAACGATGCTTCGATACGGTGCGTTTGATGAACCTTGGAGGGGGGAGAATCCTCTTCGCTACAACCGGAGAAAGATCACCATGGAGACTTGGTCCGACGCGAGCTTTGGCCAGGATGATGGTGGTCGAAGCCAACATGGTATATTGTTGGTACTAGCTGGCGGAGTGGTCAGCTGGCATAGCAGCAAGCAAACGCTGACTGCTCAATCCACCGCAGAATCCGAGCTCATAGCAGCGGTAGAGGCCATGACGCTGGGACGGGCTTTGGGGCCTGTTTGGATGGAGTTGTGCCGTGAACGCTTGTTGTGGAGTGCAAACGTCGACAACTCAGCTTGCATTCAGCTGTTGGTGGTGCCGGGTGGAGCCTGGCGCACGCGCCATCTTAGGCTTCGCGCAAGACATTTCAGGGAGGCTTTGGCTGAGGAGGCGATTGCTGTGCAACATATGCCCGGAAATGAGATGACGAGTGACGTCCTTACAAAGGCCATGCCCGAAGGACGCATGCAGTGCTTGCTCCGCTTGCTTGGTTTCGTTGAGTGCATGCTTGGAGGGAACGAGCAGCAGCAGCAGAACGTGCAGTGTTTAGAGGCTCCGCCTTGTTACGCTGACCCTTTAGAGGCTCCGCCTTGTTACGCTGACCCTGGTGTGTCCGTGGCTTTGGCTGCTATTGCTCTTGCATGTCAAGTGCAAGGGGCAAGAGCTGAAAGGGCCGATGACTCGGTGTGGGAACTATTGGGGTTTACTCTTTCTGACATAGGGGTGATCCTTGGTGTCGTGTGTCTGTGGGAGTGCTTGAGACGTCTAAGTTTTGATGGCATCAAGCGCGGAGCGAGGGCCATAATGCGGTTCTTTGCGACCAATAGGAATCCTGTAATCCCACGAGACCGTCACGCTTGTCGCAGTGACCCTGGTTCTCAGACTCATGGACTGTCTGTTCTCCGTGAGCAGCGATAGTCAGCCGGATTTGCTACTCATTACACGATTGATGGTGCCCGCAAGCTTGCAAACCCTTGGACCAAACGCACGGAGTTCGAGATTCTGTGAGCGACACCTGAACGATGACGACAAGAGGCCTTGAGTCAACCTTTGATGCTATGCCCTTATCCGTGTCGTCCAGTCCTTAAGTGAATTGGATAAGACCGAATTTGGGTGGTTTTCCATAGTATGCGGTAAATAGCATGCCGTCCCACGCTATTTTTGGCCTACCTGGCGACGTGCTGGGGAATTTAGAAGGCTGTAGCGGACTTTTGCAGTAGTCCTGATGGGCTGAGGCCTTTATCTCACCCAAGGTGAGAGGGGAGTGCAGGCCGTTCAGGCTAGCTAGAG